GATCCCATTTGATCCTTGTATCGTCGTACTCGGACCTTCATCTTTGGACCACGAGAATTATATATTCTGCCAATTGATTTCACATCAACAAACTCTTAGGCCTTGCTTGCAAAGACCTTTTCTTCCACCTTGAATGCTTTCAAGCTCTCTTTAAACCTCTTAAATCGTCTCTTGAACCATGGTCCATGTAGGCATCTAGTTTGAGCTTGAGTGACGTCATGCGGGGTGAGCGGGGTCGCATCATTCCCTCCCTCTTGAAAAAGATTTGACCTCAAATCTTGTTGCGACAGATAAATTCTCTCCCGTGACTTGATTATTTTCCCCCTTGACCATGCACCTTGAAAGCTAAGATGATCCACAAACTCTTGGAGTCTTCGTCTTTTTCTAATATGAGCCTCTATGTATGTCACTTCATCCCCAATAACAAAATCAATGTGGTCAATAATCTCACCATAATCTTGCATATGAATTGACTTACATTGAAGAGGGTTTTGGCCATGCTCATGAGCAGAATTGGGTGGTGTGGGAGTACTTGAGGTGTTGTTTATGCCTTGGGACGAAAATTGATGTTGTTGTAGGGCTTCTCCCGTGACAAAATCAACTTGAGTAGGTGATGACTCATTAATTGATGGCTTCACATCTTCACTACGTGCTAGCATCAATGTCTTGGTGTCCAAGGTACTAGACCCTTCATGCGCACCCTTGTTTGCAGCTTGAGACTCTCGCTCCTTCTCCCAATTTCGTTGCATTTGGAGCTGATCTTCATAAACTTCCTTGGGTGATAGTGGCTTCAACACAAACTTCTTCCCACCATGTTCTAGCTCGTACTTGTTAGTGGCTCCGTCGTGATGTGCCTTTCGATCAAACTGCCACGACCTTCCAAACAATACATGTGCGTCTTGCATAGGCACAACATCGCATAAGACTTCATCCTTGTACCTTCCAAGTGAAAACTTCAAGAGAGCTTGTTTTGTCACTTTGATGGCGCCATGGTCATTGAGCCAATGAAGTGTATATGGCTTGGGATGCTTCAAAGTATTTAATCCCAACTTCTTAACCGAATAGACACTAATGACATTAGTGCAACTTCCACCATCAATTACCAACGAGAGTAATTTCCCATCCACCGTGCACCTTGTATGGAACAGATTCTCTCTTTGTTCAAGCTCCTCTTTGGGTTGCACACTTAGAATTCTTCTAGCTACGAAAAGCTCTCCTGGTGGTGCCTCCTCCATCTCTATCTTCTCGTCCACATCAAAATCTGAATTAGCCTCCTTTTCTTCCTCAGAATTCGAGACATACTCTCCATTCTCCAACATGACTAGAGCTCTCTTGTTAGGACATTGGTTGGCCATATGTCCTCTTCCATGGCACTTGAAGCATTGAATTCCTCCACTAGAGCTTGTGGGTCTCTCTCTTGATGCTTCAACCTTGGCTGCCAGTTTTGGTGCTTCTGGTTTTGAAATGGCTGGCTTAGGGTTTGAATTCGAAGGCACTCCTGGCCTTGGTGCGCTAGAGGGAGGTGTGAACCTTCTTCCAAGGTTACTACGTTGTTGCTTCTCAACTTTGGCCGCCATTGCAACCAAATCGTATAACTCTTTAAATGGTTGAATTTCTACCACATTCCTGATTTCTCGATTGAGACCGTGTAGGAATCGTGCTATGGTGGCTTCATTCTCCTCTACGAGGTCAGCTCTAATCATCATCATCTCCATCTCCTTGTAGTAATCCTCTACACTATTTGTACCTTGTCGTAAGGTTTGTAGGGCTTGATACATCTCCCTACGATGGTAGCTAGGGACGAATTTATCCCGCATGATGCTCCTCATCTCTTCCCATGTCTCAATAGGGCGTTGCCTATCCCTCCTTCTTCTCGTACAGATTTGATCCCACCAGATGATAGCATAATCTGTGAATTCCATTGCAGCCATTTGAACTTTCTTCCTCTCGGAATAGTTGTGATAGTCGAAAATCATCTCCATTTTTCTTTCCCAATCAAGATAAGCTTCGGGATCGGTAGCACCTCTGAATGATGGAATAGTGACCCTCACATTTCTCAATTCGTCTTCAACTTCTTTAAGGTTGGCATCATCGTCATCATACTCGCCTTCTTCGCCTTGCACTCGAGGATTCCCTCTCCTTGCTCGCAGCATCCCCAAAGGACGATGGCGCCTCAATTTTTCAGCCATGGGTTGCGGAACAATCCTCCTTTCTCCTCTCTCTTCATCTTCTCGCCTAGGCCTCTCGGCATTAGGGTTTGGTGGTGCTTCTTGCGCAGGAGCTTGAGGCGCGGCTAGCCTTGCTTCGACTATGGCGAATCCTGCATTAACGTCCGTGGCGTTGGCTGCTAGGGTTCGCTGAATTTCCGCCAATTGATCCATCATTGCCTTCATTGGATCATCCATTCTTGTGGCACAAGGTAGTGTTTCTTGCGCTGACAGCCCACAAGAATTCGCCAAGATTGCTTCAAGAACACGTCAAGATTCCCAAGAACCTTCTTCTTCTCCGCTGTGTTTGAACCGGGCTCTTGATACCACTTGATGTGATCCAAATCCGAAGAGAACCCTCGAACTCGGATTATATGACCAAAGTACGCAGCTTCAACGATCTTTTTATGATTTTCTGATGTCGCCTTTCTTGAACTCGAAAAATAAAAGATAATGCGGAATCAATCGGACAATCCCAACCGTGATGAAGGGCAATTGGTATATGAAACCAATCGGACAGCACCAACTCGTGGAAAGGGGCAATTGATATAGGGTAGAAGCTCGCCACAACTAGACGCGTTCTCTAGTTGATAAGAGACACGTGAAACCTCTGGAACACTCTCGACAGAAGCTTGCACAAAGAACCAGTTCGTTTGAACTTGAAACTTGAAAGTTGATTGATAATAGAATGAATTACAATGAGGGACTCATCCTCCTTATATAGGCAACGAAAATCCAATCCTAAACTAAGAAAGAAAGCAAACAAATAACCAAATCCTACAATTAAAAGGAAAACAAAACCTTAAAGGAAAAGTAAAAGGAAAACACAATCCTTAAAAGATAAGGAAAAGACTTGGTCAACAACTTCCTAGATTCTAGCCTTGCAATCCTCCCTCACATGGCTTGTGTTCACACCTGATATTCCTTTCACACTTGTATTCCTTTCACACCTTGTGTTCACACCATGGGAGATCTTCCTTCCTTCTACCAAGCCCATCTTCTCTTCATTATAGTCCATAAATCGAGCAACGCGATGGACTTTCCTTCTAGCAAGTCCACGTCCATCAAGAATGATCCCATTTGATCCTTGTATCGTCGTACTCGGACCTTCATCTTTGGACCACGAGAATTATATATTCTGCCAATTGATTTCACATCAACAAACTCGTAGGCCTTGCTTGCAAAGACCTTTTCTTCCACCTTGAATGCTTTCAAGCTCTCTTTAAACCTCTTAAATCGTCTCTTGAACCATGGTCTATGTAGGCATCTAGTTTGAGCTTGAGTGACGTCATGCGGGGTGAGCGGGGTCGCATCATGGAGTTTGATTTCGTCAAGGATTTATGATGTTTCTATGGAGAGATTGACTCATTGAACACACAACTTAGACTTATCGATCAACTGTTATGCAAATTCTCACACAAACATAGACGAATTTTTTTGAACAATCTTTCCTTACCGACATTTGGAATTGCTTCACTCGGTATTATTAGTTGATCGTATGTTGTAGTATTTTGAATATTAATTACTAGCATCATAAGAATGAGTCTACCCTGTGGTTTCTATCAAATATGGTTGTTATACTATAGTTGATACGTTGTATCCTTCACTATTGTTGTATAGATTTTATCCTTATGTATGTTTTCCTTCTTGAACAGTGGTGCACTCATTTGTCATGCAAAGCTCTTTGTATAGACTTTCAATTATTAGAGGAGTAAACAACATTAGTTGACTACCTTTAATGCATGTTGCCTCTTCACTTTAGTTGTTCAATGGGTGGTGGATACCTATTGTACACTTATAAAATCAGTATCTGTTTTTATATTCTTGCATATTACAATTAATGGCTCTCACTTATAAAATGAAGCTAAGGAAACATAACTTTGTATTTCTTCCACAGATTTTAATGTGGGGTTGTCTTGCAAAACGGTCACGCAATCTCCGTTCTATTCGTTTGTGCAGAAGCACGTTGTTAATTTCGTCATCGTAGTTTGCGTTCACTCTATTATATATGTTTCTCCTTGGTTCAACATCCCATGCCCCCCATCATTTTTCTCATGTGCATAATTTGTTTGTAGGCTTTCTGTCTGTGGAACTTCTCAGCTTGGGTGAACCTTCATGCCTCTTTGAATACTATGCAGCAATAACGTGGCTACAAGAAAGCACTTTGCATATTAGGAGTCATACCAATCCTGTGTTTTCTTTGTGTTGCAATACAATGAAAAGAGAAACTACGTCCTTAGACATGATCCAACACATATTTTGCAAAATTTATTAGAATTTGTAACACCTATGAGTTGCCACCTCAAGGAAGCAATTCATATGTATAATATTGTATTTTGTTTCATTTCCTAAAAGGTAAAGTAGATCATGACATAAATGACGTTGGTGGTATGTACGTATACTCTATAAAGTGGGCAAATTTATCACATTATAAGGAACGTACTCACTCTAGAAGGACATACACCAAAGTTTCCACAATTATATATTCATGAAACTACCTCCGAACACAATTATATATTCGTTCATAACTACTATACTAAACACACAATATATCCATAAAACACACTGTATATGCATTTTCAATAGATAACATATTTATAAGTATCGAACTCTCCGGCCAACGGGCCGGACCCTGTGCTAGTTAACAAGAGAGCTAAAAGAAAAAAAAGAAAGTGTGCTAAATGAATAAAGCGAGAAAAATATGGGAGGGTGTCGTGGTCGTGGGGGGAATGGGGATACATTGACTTTGAAGAGGAAGCCTCCCATTCCTTCATAATTCATTTATTATTGGTAGTGCGAGAAAGTGTTAGTGAGAGGCAGAGCATTAAATTAAAAGGAAACTATAATCTCTCATATCGATTGATATCTCTCCCAATCTCCTCTCTTTTTGTCTCTTCTTCATCCCCTCTCTGTGTATCTGTCTCTCAAGTTTCCTCTCTGCCTGCAACTAGTGAACCGAGTCGATTCGTGGTGGATCTATTCGGTGGGGGAATTGTGGTTTGTTGTTCCAATTCTCTTCTGCTGACCTGACCACCTCTGCTTCAGTCCCCTGTAACGGTGAGTCCTCTCTCCCCTCTCCTCTTCCTTCGGAACTTGAATTATTATTTTCTTGCACCCGTAAACGAAATCTTACTTCATAATCTCCGCCCCTGAATCTGTATAGTAGTAACAGTTTATGTGGAATATTCAGTCGCCGGCCGGGAAACCCCAATAACCCTTGTGCCTCAATTCCCAATTTAATCTGCGGCTGTTGTCGCCCTTGCTTTCAGTTGATTGTTTATAGGAACAAGCTTTCTCTCTCTCTCTCTCTTCCCTGCATTGCATTTGCGAATAGTAATTCGATTAACGTCTCCCAGAACCGTAATGTTCCAGATTTGATTTCCCATGGTTCGGGAAGGTTATTGATGAGTGACAGAGGTAGCCGATCCGATAATTGAGTCTCTAATCTGGTCAGTATTGTTTGGAATAGGAAGGAAATGTTGGGATTTCAATGTGCGAGATTCATCCTCTGGTTGAACAAGCTGTATCTGCTTGCTGACCTCAATCAGCCTTATTTTGAAGAAAGAGAAAATTGAAAAATTGGGAAAAGAATTGAAGAGGGTAGGAGTAGGGGCGGTGGGTGGAAAAATGGAAAACTGGAGATTGAAATGGAAGGGAAGGGAAGGGAAGGGATTGACATGGTCGTGGTTAGCTAGGGTGACGCCAGCAAGCTGCGGTGAGGGAAGACTGGAAGAGGCCGCGTGGAGGAAGGAAGGAAGAAAGAAAATGGAATACACGCACGCTGCAGTGCAGGTGGGAGTGACGCGGGTTAAGCCGAATCCAGCTGTAATTTGATGTTCAAACTTCAAACTCTGCTCTAGAACATTACATACATACAGTCGGCCGCGTTTCGGGGCAGGATTGGGTCAAACGCGACCTTCCCTCATCCTTTCCTTATCCCCGCCGATTTAATTCTTTAACTTTCTCTTCCTCGATAATTGGGTTCGGATTTCAAGAATGAGAAGGAAAAAAAAAAAAAAAATTTCGCGCTATTAATCCGTCCAGAGAGTCAGAGGTTGTAAAATTGGTTTATGTCGTCCGAATCGGTTTGTGCTGGTTTATTTCAATTTAATAAAATATGAAAAATCATAAGATATTTTAAGGCAATTAATTTATTCTCTATATTCATATTTAAATAAAATAATAAATACTTATATTTAATAGTACATTGTACGCTAACACCAGGATTTTATATTTGAATACAACAAAACAAAATTATTAACTTTAAAAGTCATAAAAATATATAAAAATTATTTTTTATTAATTAAATTTACTAATATCACGTCATTTTGTTGATAGGCTTAAAGGTGATCATATCAAATTATCAGTCATGTAAGTAGTTTTTTATGCTGGTTTCATGATCGACACTAGTTGAACCAGATTCAATCGTGCTCCACGCTCGACACTTATTTTCTAAATCGATAATGTGAGAGGGACCAGTAGAGGGGTACCTATGGGCTGCTTTTTGTAATTTTTGAAAAAGCAGTTTTTAATTTAAACTTTTGAATAATGGTTTGGGTTAGGATACAAAACTATATTGAGAGGTAGGTATCTAATGGTCATCTGTGTAGATGGTAGGGAGGAAAGTAGGAGCTTGGAGAAAAAGCTCAGTGAATTATAAGGATAACTTTCAAAATTTTGGGGTTGGCACGAATTTTCAGGTGTACTGTTAAAGTACTTTTCAAATCTCGTATTAGAATTCTACGGACCAAAGACATTTGTTTTACATCGGATTTCAAAAACATTTGGGTAGAAATATTATTTTTTATGCTCTATAAGATGATATCCATTTTGATATTTTTTGAAAAAAAAATCATTTCATCTTACACTTTCATATCACTATGTTACCACAGACAGTGATATGATGTTGATATAGTAATAATTATTTAAATAAAGTTGAGTTATATTAAATATTTTATTTATGATTTTATTTAGTTTTAAAAGATATAAATGAAAATTTATACTTTCTGTAATAAAAAAAAAATAAAACTGTACCAATAATTTATATATTTTCAAAATATTTTTTAAGTGGAACTTGTATATATTATAAAATTATTTTTGTTAATTTCAAAAGTCAAATTATTGAAGTGTTTCACTTTCACCCAACCTCAGTTTTCAAAGCAAAAGACTTATAAAAGTTAGACAAGTTTAGTCCGACCATTTTTTTTTATAGCTGTAGTATACGACCATTTTTTTATGGGCAATTACAGTCAAACTCAATAGCTAATAACCAAGCTGGGTTGCGGGCAGAGTCAGAGTCGCTCTCTTGTTTCTTTTTTCCATGGGAAAACAAACAAATAGCAAGCTGCTGCTTACCGTCCCTTCGATTCCTTGTTTTGTTTTGCCTCAAGAGCTGGAAATAGTCTCCAGACGGCCGGGCCTTGAATAAGGTAAGGACTAATAATAATTAGCAATAACACTTCTCTCCATCTCTCTCACCCACCCGCTTATTTAACATACACCAACAAAATATATATATATATATATATTTATTTGAGCGAGGCTGGAGGTCCCGCCCTTCCTCCCTGTCTGGCTGGAGAATGGGAATGGGTCGGTAGCTGGCCTGGTATTTAATACGGTAGAGGAGTCAGGAGGAGAAAGCCCAGCAGGCAGCGTGCGGTCTTCGGTCTTCCGCGCTTGCCTCGTCCCGTCCCCTAAACTAAACACACTAACTCAGTCTCCCCATTTCTTTCTTGTCCATGGAACGACCAACTCTTCCAATCCAACGCGTACCTAAGTTTACTTAATTATTATTTGGTTGCTTATTATTCAACCAAAAATTTTTATTAATATTAGGGTTAATACCTTAAATTGGCCCGTACTTTAGGTAAACAGATTAGTGGTATTTCGCCAAATGTGACTATAAGTGGCACAAAGGTGAAAGTTCGGCTATGCAAGTGTATTTTGCCTAAATAATACCCAAATTGTTATTGCGATTGAGGGACTCAAAAGCATTCTTCACTTCCCAGAGTTTTTGACCGACCCCCTACTTTCAACTTTACATTTCCATGACTGCTTCTTTCTTTCTTTTTTTCTTTTCCAGCACAAAGTAAAAAGAAGGCAGATCTACTTCAATTTATTTCACTATATATGAACGTGTGTATGTTATATGTCTAAATTTTTTTGTGTCTGTACTATTGTCAAATTGTTTCATTTTTTATCCTAAAGTTTATTTGATGTCTCCTATACTAAATAAATTTAATATTATATTTAATAAAATAAATTTGTAATATGAATATTAAATTTATTTATTTATTTTTAAAATAATTAATTTCATATATTTAATAACAAGTAATATTAGACCTAATATTAGTTTACTTTACCGACAAAGTGAAGTATTCATAACTTTTCATAGAACGGTTCAGCTTATGGACTCACTTTTCTTTGGTGACAGGTTTGGGCTTTAGATCAGTGGACGCATCTCTAGAGCTATCACTCTCTCTCAGTTGCCTCACTCCTTATGGCCTCTGCCTATGTAAGATTGAATCTCCCACTGCATCCCCTCTCCCTACACTCATTCTTCAGTGTTTCCTTTCCTGTAATATGTGGAGGAGAGCCAGTTGGACGAACGTACTATATGTAGATTTACATGTATGGCTCCCCATCAGTCGTCAACAACTGATGTATCATCCATGTGTATTGCTTTGGTTTCCCCTATTGACTGTTTCTGATCTTGCTTCCGCTGCTGATTTCTGGCCGTTTGTACGTACTCTCGTCACAGGCTCATTCGAGGAAATCTATGAAAAGATTGGAGTCCAAAAAGTCGCATTCCTGGTGGTGGGACAGCCACATCAGTCCCAAAAACAACAAATGGCTTATGGAGAACCTTGAAGGTATGCTGCACATTTCTTCTTCTCGTTGCCAACTTCTTGAATGTATGGGTTGACTACTATCTCCGTGATCTGGATTTCGTCGTAATCAATCGTGCACTTTGCTGTACTTGGCTCTCTAAACCAATCATATGTAGCCGTTGATTCGAGCCATGTCCTTATTAGCTAATTCCAGGCCGGATTCGAGCCATGCCCTTTTCGACTTCAGATTTTGTTCTCTGAGCTGTGCCACAAAGCCTTCTTCACATCAACTTGTGTGTTATACCATTCATATGATGGGATGCAAATGTTGTGCCATGGGAGGGTGGCATGATCTTGTTCCTTGAAGCCTATCTTTAGAATAACTCTCTTCTATTTTGATTGGCTTTCTAAATGAGGAGATATCTCTCATGGGTTGGGGGGATATTATTCCTGATCCTCTATCTATCTTGGGTTTCTGGGATGAAGGTTCCCCAAATTATTCATGATTGCTTGAATTTGATGAGATATTCGTATGATCTCATTTTGACAAAATGACCAAGAGAATGACGAAAGCGTTTCTGTCTTCAGAGATGGACCGGAACGTGAAGCGGATGCTGAAGCTGATCGAAGAGGACGGCGATTCCTTTGCCAAGAAGGCTGAGATGTATTATCAGAAAAGGCCAGAACTGGTTTCTCTTGTCGAGGAGTTCTACCGCATGTACCGGTCTCTAGCAGAGCGTTACGATAACGTGACCGGCGAATTGAGAAAGAGCGTCCCCGTCGATCTCCAATCCCAGGGCTCCAATGCCTCTGACCTTGCCTCTGACCTACCATCTTCATCTCCCTCTCCTGCTCCTGCTCCCGACCGACCGCCTCTTGCTAGGAGATCGTCAGGTCACAGGGCTGCTGGTTTTGATTTCTTTCTGGGTTCCGGGGACACAACCTCTGACCATGGCCATAAAGAAGGAGATGAGTCGTCTACATTGACAGATTCGGATTCAGAATCCGACGACGATTCATCCGTTAACAATTACTCGGGACCGATAGCAGGTCATGGTGGTGGTGACCAAGCACTTGCCAAGAAGATTATGGAGCTGGAGGCCGAGCTCCGCGAAACCAAGGAGAATTCCAATGATCTTGCTTCCAGAATCGCAGAATACGAGCTTGAACTGAAGAGAGCAAATCAGAGAATCCACAGTTCAGAAGACGAGATCGATAGATTGAAATGTGAGCATGAGAAATGCAACAAGCCGTTTGAGCACATCAATGCAAGCCGAGATGCTGGAGCCGAGCTAGAGCCAATCCTCCAACCGTTGCTGCAGCTTGAAGAGGGAGAGGAGGGTGAAACTTTAAGCGGCAGCAGCTCAAATGACAAGATCGTTCACTCACTAGCGGAGGAACTCAGAATCACAAGAATGAGGCTTCAGGAATCCGAGAGGGAGATAGCTAGCTTGAGGCAGAGATTGGAGAGCAACGACGAGGTCTCCGATCAGAAGGTGAGGAATTTGCAGGATCAGCTTGCGTCAGCTCGAAAGGACATAGCCGCATGGAAAAGCAAGGTGAACTCGGAGAGAAAGGAAGTGTCCAAGCTACAGGAGAGAGTTTCCAGACTGAAAGCAAGTTTGACCGACCGTGACCAAGAGGCGAGGGAGCTGAAAACCGCGGTGTCCGATGCAGAAAGGAAGATATTCCCGGAGAAAGCTCAAATCAAGGCAGAGATAACAAAGCTGCTAGAGGAGCAGAGCGGCTTCAGGGAGCAGCTGAGGGAATGGGAGTCCCGGGGCCGTTGCTTGGAGGATGACATCAGAAGGCTTCAAGCCGAGAAGGCCGAAATGGAGGAAAGGCATTGCTCCGAGACCGAGCAGCTGAAGGCAGAGATGGCCGAGCTAGTCGAAACCGTGAGCACGTTGAGAACCGAGAGGGACATGGCGAAGCAGAGAGCCGATGCGGTGGAAGCAGAGTTGGTTTCTCAGGAGCAGCAGATTGATGAGATGGAGAAGCACTTGGAGGAGCTACACAAGGAACTGGTGGGGGTGGTATCCGCGGCGGAGGAGGCCCGCAGGAAGGCAAAAGAGCTGGAAGAGGAGGTGGAGAAGCAGAGGAAGCTGGTGGAGGAAAGTGCGGAGGAGAAGCGGGAGGCGATAAGGCAGCTGTGCGTGTCGATAGAACACTACAGAGTCGGGTATCATGAGCTTAGGCAGGCGTTTGCAGGTGCTGGCGGACACGGTAGAGTTGCTGTGCTAGCGGCATAGGCGAGACTTGAGAGAGAAGGTAGGGGTTTCTTACTTGTTAGGATGTCTTCATAGCAAAAACAAGAAATAGTAGCAGAAAAATAGTGTCTGGGATTTTGTGGAACGGTTTGATTTTGCTTGTGTTGTTTTTTTCCTTTTGGTAAGGTTTGAACGAAACATGGTGTGGATGTGGAAGAGATTGGTTTCGTTGCTCAAGCATGAGGGTGGAAATGGATGATCGAGTGTTTTTGTGATTGTCATTTTGGCTTTTTTTTCCCGGGTGTCGTGTGGGTTTTGACTTTGGGTTTTGTCCAATGTCCAATTTGGTTTTTCTTATCTCAAGGGATTAATACCGCTCATCTTTCATTCTTCCAAGTCACTAATCCTATGGAGATCGGATTCGTCCGTCCTTGCCAACTCGATATATAGGTTGCAAATTGCAATGAGTGTTGCAGTAACAGCAAAACCTCCCTTGTCCTACACGGCACATGCATGCCAATTGTCAAACTCAAACCCCTATCCATATTTGAAAGGAGACAAGGATACAGCCTCCCTGCACAAATCGGCAAATGAGTCATTTACAAAATAAATAATTTTGCTTAAATTTAGAGTTTTGGAGGTCATCTGCATCGGGTTTTTTTATACCGAACAGTCCGTTTAGCAACGAAAAGCATAATAAGGTGTCGAAGAAGTAAAATTTTATTATATATGGCGACGTATTCTTTATTTCTATTCAATTGACTAATTTTTCTCACAAATTCATATTTTGCTAATGATCTAGAGTCATATAAGGATTTGTAAATATAAGATCTAACAAAGAGTATTGAATGCATTTATAATTAAGAGATCGTACCTAGTTATGCACGATTACATAAATCATTGTTATCATACAATCCCAAATCTCAAATATCTCTAATTACTACACAAATAATAAACATAAACATAACAACAATAATAATAATTCATGCAAAATCAATCTATGGCAGGTTTCTATCAATTTTTGTTGGGATTTTTAATGGTGTGAATGAGAATGAAATTGGAAGGAGGCAAGAGAAGCTTTTGAAATACCATATGGGTTATATGTGGGAAGGGGGCCTTGGATTCGGTCAATTAATTTAATTAAATCTTTTGGTAATTGGTCAAACTAGTTTATATAACCAATCGGATCAAACCGCAAACCGATGTGATGGTTGGAGTGAACCAACCGGTTCAACTAACATAGGCCGAACTGATGTAATGGTTCATTATTTTAAAATGAACCAATGTGTTGGTTGGGGTGTAACCAGCCACCCGAAAGGTCACATCCCTTCACTCACACCCCTTCATTTTCTATAAACAGCACCATCCCCCTCTGTTTTCATACAAATGATTTTCGACCGAAAGAAAGAAAAAAATAGTTTTTATTCTTCATTCATTTTTCCTCTCTACAATCACATAAAAGAAAACAGAGTTGTGTGACTTCTCGCCGTTTGTTGCGCTCGCTGGTTGCTGGGGTTTCAAGTACCGGTACGCCAGAAAAAGTACGTCCGTTCTATCCTGGGAGGAATAGTTCCATTAACCTTGGGTACCGTAGAGGGAACTAAATTCTTTAAAGAGAAATAGTGAATTCTATTGGCTCGAACGGGGTTTATGCATGAGTAGTGTTTTCTTCTTCTTAACGTTTTGTTCAATTTGATTCCTATACGTAACTTGTGTTGTAACAAAAATAGTATACGTGAATAATTTCCTCAACATTTTCTTACAAACAGGTTTGTTTCATATTGTTTCTTCATGAATCAATGCACTAAGTAACAAACTAACAATCTTCCACAAAATTTCCGAAACCTTATTGTCATGCCGCGACCAGAATTTGAATGCTGGTCAATTGAAGTTTCCAACAACTCGAAACAAACCTTATTATTAATGTCAAAGTTGAGTTAGTACCTATTACTTTTGGTCATTCACACTGTTTCACCTCATCACCACTCGTTTTATACGTTACACGAAAACATACACTTGGACAGACTCTGAGACACTCGCTCCAGAGCTGTTATAAAAACTCAAAACATAAGAACACAAACATCAGATTTTACGTGGTTTCCCTGATGATCAGTACTAGTCCACGGGAGAAATAGCACTCTACAAAATCAATTTTATTCAGCTTAGTTTACATGATACAGAGAAGGGAATATATATAGCTAGGTTACAGCTCACATGTACACCTAGCCCTACCTAGTTTAGGTTAACTTACGTAAAAGGACAATTACTATAAGCTACCCAAACTAAGTACATATCACAATTATAACACCCTCCCTCAAATTAATGTTGCTTTTGTTAGATAAAAACCAATGACGACTGGTTCCGACTGCCTTTGTCAACAAGTCTGCAGTCTGATCTTCTGATGGACTACCTCCGACACAGTTGTCTGATGTAATGAACATGATTCTCAATATGCTTTGCCCTATCATGCAGGACATGATTGGTTGCAATCCGAATGACACTCGTGTTATCAGCAAACAGTCTCATAGGCATCCTGCATTCGACACCCACCTCACATAGGAGACGTTTCAGAACTAACCTCAGACATAGATCTGTACTCTGCCTCGATAGAAGATTTAGAAACTCGTTCATGTTTCTTGCACCTCCATGAAATAAACGAGCTGCCAAACCTCACATACCAACCCGATGTTGACCTGCGGGTGTCAAGACAGCCTGCAAAGTTAGCATCTGCGAAGGCTTCAAGTGTGGGCTCTCCTGTGGCTAGGAAGAATAGCCCAACATCCTGTGTACCCTACAAATACCTTAGGATTCTGTGAACTGTATCCAAATGCATGGTACGCGCCATGCCCATAAACTGACTCACAACTTGTACTGCGTAGGCAATATGTGGCCTCATAAAATTGAGATATCTGAGCGATCCAACTATCGTTTTGTATAACGTATGATCATCTAGCAAATCCCCACTAGCTCTGCTGAGTTTTAGGTTCTGTTCCATCGGAGTGGTGCATGGTTTACAGTTCTCAAATTGATATTCTACCAGCAAGTCCCGAATATACTTTCTTTGACTAACCAGGATACCGTGTTTACTTCTTTCTATTTCCAGCCCCAGAAAATATGAAACATTGCAAAGTTCCTTGAGTTTAAAGGCTTGATGAAGGGACTCGGTGAGTTCCTTGATCCCTGAACGATCATCACCTGAAATAATCATGTCATCCACATACAGAAGTAAAACTGTAAGACCATGTATCGTATGACGTATGTAGCACCCCGATAATTTAGATTTAGATTCGACCTTAATACGTGATCGGTTGGATTGACGGTTACGTACTAAGAGTTACAATCGCGGATTAAGAACAATAATATTATAACATTATTTTTATTATAATATTATTATTATATTAAAAAAATAGTTAGTGGGGCGGCCAGGAGGTCGGCGCCTCCACTCCCCCCAAACAATAATCTCCCCCCCCCCATAATAATTGTCGAGCCGCAAAACCCAGGAGGCAAAATTAAAAGAAAACCCTCGGGTAATTCTGCAAGAAGAAGCCGCCGCCTCCTTGTGCCCCAACCCCGATCCCGACCCCATCCCCTTCGTTTTAGGGAAGGATCACAAACCCTTTCGCGATTTCTAAATTCGATTTAACGATAGTCTAATCCGAAGCTCGTATTTTATTAGCGGTGACGTTTTTTAAGAAGGCTCAAGTTAGGTGAAAAATTCGTCAAAGATAAGAATAATTAAGAAAAATGGTCGTTTTTAATGGATTAATTCTAGAAAATTTTAAAGGGGGTTTAGGGACCTTTGGAGTGAGGTTTGAGGATGGGACTTTGAGTAGAGGGTGTCTGGGTAGATAAAAAGGTGGCTTTTAAATCGAGAAAGGTTGTCTTAGAGTATGAATTTCTTATTAATGGGTATCCTAGGATAATCCGGCTAAGGAGGGAAAGAAGGCGAGAAAGTTAGCCGACGATCAAACGTTGTAGTCTCTCGTGATGAAGATGTTCACACCGGTTAGTAGGAGAGGAAGAGTCGTGTCTAGCGGAGGCAAGAGGCAGGCCGAGAACTCGGCAACGACGATCGCGACTGGCGGGGGTAAAGCCTCCTAGAAGACCTGGGGTGTCCGGAGTTCGAAGTTGGCCGCTGAATTGTGGCCAGAGGAGGGACCTTGAAGAGAATGGCGGCGGAGCTCCAATGATTAGGGTCGTTGAAGAGGAAGACGATGAACCGATAGAGGAGGAGCCAAAAGAGGAAAAACGCGCGGGGCTTGAGCGTGAGAATGCAGACGTTGATGCGGCTGAAGAGGTGAGTGTAAAGGGGGTAAAATCTCTGTCGTAGGTCTTTTAGTTTTCGCTTTTCGTTCAAGTTATTATTCAATTAATTTTCTAGTATGCGCGATATGTGTGTGAGGCATCCCACCACCTGTAAGGGTGGAGGAACGCGTTGTGCTATGTATGAAGGTATGTGATGTTGTATGGATTGATGGTATGAGGAACCCCCGGGCGTTTGGGTCACTACTGGACGCCGAGACGTAACGCAGTAGTTGACGGGCATGGACTGGACGGCGAGACGTAACGCAGTGCCATTGCCGAGTTTGGGTATGCAAAACGGCAAGACGTAACACGGTTGGCATACTAGGGTAGGGACACCGGACGGCGAGACGTAACGCGGTGGTCCCTTGTGTTGGTGTCTTTGGATTAAGATTATAAGTAAGGGAATTCTAAAGATAAGATAGGAGTAGAGATCTCTTATAGACTGTTTGATAGTAAAGTTTAAAGGATGAAAGTGAGAACGAATTTCGTCTAAGAAAGGCATTCCCCTAATAAGGTGTTTAGTCAGGAGTTTGCCTAGGGCAAAGACCTTAGGAAGTAACGACGAGACTGACCCCTTCTCACTCACTAGGTCGAGGAAGGGTTAGCAGAGGCGAACTGCAAGAAGAGGCCAGGCGATACGAGCAGCTGCACCAGCATTGATGAGAAGTCAAGGAACTCGTGAAGAGTCAGAGCTAGAATAGTTTAGTTTCCTTGTTACATGGTTAGGAGTGTAAACTGGAGATCCTGAGTTCTTTCATTTTAAGTATTGGGATTTTCATTTTCCCAAGTGTTCAGTCTTTTTGTTTGAAATTCTTAAACATTGTCGGTTTATTTATTTTAAAAAGTTGTTTGGGTTGCTCCGGAGTAACCGGTTTGTGGTTTGAGTTGTGGTTTGGTTTTCAAAAAGGATCGGGTCGTGTCAACGTAGAAATAAGGATGGATCATTCTGGCTTTGTGTAAATCCAGCCTGTACTATTGTACCATGAAATTTCTCAAACCAGGCTCGAGGAGCCTGCGGTTTGAGTCCATATAAAGATCGCTTCAGACGACATACCATGTTGGCATCACCCTTCGTGTAGCCAGGTGGGCGAGCCATGTAAATGGTCTCCTTAAGGTCACCATGCAAGAAAACA